TTTGATGATAAAACGATGGCTATTTGGATGAATTGAATGATATTTGAATGATTCTAGAGATACATGGATATTTAGGGTTATATTTGCAGTGTCTTGCTACTATTTTTCAGGGGGTGGCAGAAATTTCTGTTTTCGCAAGCTTTACGTCCGCCACAATAGTGGATTCGCTGGAACCCTGACTACCGACTAAACCGCCTCTGGTTCTATGGCATCGCTCTCCGCTTCAGCCGAGCGGATCGTGAAAAAAAGCTGGGAGGAATCCGAGACTTCTGTTTCATCTACGGCATCAATCATCGATGCCAGCAATCCCTTCCGACTGGGATTTCCTGCGCCCTTGCCAGCTCTTCCGGTCGGTCATTCCTCCTGCGATGAAATATTTCCTGTAAGCTATGACGGCATCATTCGGGAGGTCGCTTCTCTGCTCAAACGGCGGGATATTAGTTGGGGATCGGTTGTTGTGGTGTCTCGCTGTGCCTCCGCTACTGTTTCCGACAAGCGACCCACCATCCTAATCACGGCCACAGCGGTGAAAGACGACTCCTGGTACCTTTTTGTGAAGGAGACCCAAGAATACCTGATAAAATGCTCTTTGGATAAAGTCTGCGTGGAGATTCACGATCCTGAAGGCTTGAAGATTCCTGCCCACTTTCACATCGAACCCGAACATCCGATTGTATCAGTCTGGCGGAAGCTCCAGAGAGGTATCATCACGGTTCTAGTCCCTCTATGCTGGTGCAGCTTGTCGGTGGTTCGGTGGGGTTATGGTAACAATGCTCAATCGAATCCAGTTGCGATTATCATTACATCGAAGTGTCCTTCAGAACTATCACATACGAAGCGGACAATTCAGCTCCGGTGTCAACAATACAATCTGGACAGAATTGAGGTCTGTTTTGTGCAAGTGGACACTATTTTTGCGGCCGGTGGATTTCGATCTCCTGTCGAGGGCCGAGACTTCGGGGTGACCTTAGACCTTTCTCCCGGGGCAAGCATTGGACTTAGCTTAGAGCCGAGAGCGACAGCGTCTTTTGGCGGGAATCTGATCTTTCGGCGCGGAATTGAGATTCACGAGCTAGGAGTTACAAACTTTCATATTGTCGCATCACATCAGAGCCTTCAAGGTTTGACTCTCTCAAGACAGTCCACCGTAAATATTGGTAATTACTAACTATAAATGTGCAGGAATCAAGGAGACAGGGTTGACTCCAGACCATGCTGCAAGTCTCAACGTGGGCCTTGTTTCTCCGTCAATCTTTGACGCAAATTTCAAACGGGAAATCGTAGAAAATGCTCTGGATATGGTTAGGAGAGATGTTGAAAAACTTTAGGAGCAACAAAGGACGGAATATTTGAATGAAAAAACAGGAGAGGGCCCTCTCAAAGCTCCAAGCCGGCATGGATGCCGTTAACCTCGAATCCCAAGCCCTCAACAACCTCAATAGAGCCACAGGAACAGTGTGGGCGGGCTCTGGTTTTCGTTCCGACAATGGTTTTGGAGTGGATTGGGCCCTGGTCTCTCTACCAAGTTCTAGGTTGTTTCTGAAAAAGGTATGATATACGTTCCCTAGTTGCAAAATGCTTTCGATAATGAAGGCAGAAAGCGTATTAATTCGAACTTTAGTTACCTACGTCTGAGGAACTGGCCGCTCTTCCCCCTTATATTCACCCAATGCTGCTCTTCCCGGACTCGGGAAAGGTCGAGGAGTGCGGACCTTGTGAAAAGGGAGCAATAGTCTTCAAATGTGGCAGAACAACAGGTTTGACACAGGGGGAACATTAAGCTATGTCGACTCTACGGTGAATTTCAATGGTCCCACGGTGTCCGCGTGGCATGTTATCGGGGCCCATAACGTACCATTCTGCGATAGCGGTGACTCAGGATCTTGGCTGATTGATAGAAATGGCAAGTAGGTTGGCTTACTATTCGCGTGTCCGTTCCCAAGCTACGCCGGAGACGGATACGCCATTCCCTCACTCAGGTTGATAAAGGACATCGAAGCACTTGTTGGAGGAAGGGTCGAAATACCAATTGATTAGCTTTTATGTGGTGGTGGGGTGGGAACTTTCATTGCAATTCATGAGAAAAAGCTCACTGTCGCGCAGAATTGACGTGTTGATGTGTTTCCCCCCCTTGAGTTTTCCAAGCAAAATCGACCTCCTAATGTTTTTGCTCTGATTCTTCGGCTACTGCTTGCTTGATACCCAACCTTCTATCCCTGTTTTACTAACTAATTAAAGGTTCTGGCTTTCAGAGCCTTGTCTATTGTTGTTTTATTTCTTATATTATCCTTCACTGTTGACATCTCAGGGCTCCGATGTACGGGCTCGTCATTTGATACAAAGAACAAATTAATATAGCTAAAAAGAAGAAAAATCAAAATATTACTCAGTACGAGTGAAGATTTTACAAAAGTCAGTTCAGAGTGAAAGAGGATATTTATAACTATAAAAATCAATGCAGTGTTTGCTAGTTTTTGGTTCTTCAAGATCTTCAGGGCGGGATGTGGCCCTGTCTGTCAAGTTCAAAATTGCTAACGGTTTTTGGCCCGAAATGCCAGGCAGCTAGCACGACACTCACTCAAGTACAAACTAGCAAGGGCCCATGCAAGGATCGAATGGGATTGGAAGAGATCGCCGCAGTATCCTCCTACGTATGTGTAGCAGGGCAATTTTTCCCCCTGGTTCCGGGGAAGCCGGTGTCGAAGAAGAAAAAAAGTTGAGGGCGAACGCAAGGGGATTCTCAAGCACGATAAATGATGTACGGAGTACTGTACATCCATTATTGGGACTATTCAGTGGCAATGTTCTCGGTTCTTCTGGCGTTGACGCTGGCTATGGACGCGACATGTTCCACGGTGGATAAAAAATAGGACGTTTTGGGCTTCCACCAGGGACCCTGGCCTGGACAGCGGTTCCTGGCCAATGCAACATTACCGATCTCTGTGGTGGCTGGAATGTGCCGCATGTCACGGCATGTGTCCATTATGATTGCGCATTATACGGAGTACTGCGTACTGTACGCAGGAGCTCCGGAGGGGGAAGGGGGATGTTTTAATATGGGACATAGACACAACCTCCTAGTATTATGTATACCGGTAGCTGGATTTTAATTGGGACAGGAAATACCCAAAGAAGGGAATAACATTAAGCTGCAGCTGAGCGAACAATCCGTCCTGCGCCCAATGTCCGGCCTCCAATCAGCTCGGCACTCTCTAACATCTCTCGGGGGGACCTGGAGCGTCTGGATGCGCTGGATGTGCTGGACAAGCGTTGATAGGACCAGGCCTTAATTACATAACCCGAATCGGCGGAGCCTCCCCACGACGTCTGTATCGACGCCACGACAACGACGCCGACAACGAGGACTCAACCTCGATTATCCTGATCCCTTGAACTGAAGCTGTTGGGAGCACTGGCTTGCTCCGATTTGTGGCTTCGTCTCGTCCGCTCTTTTACTACCGGTTCTCCTTTCTTCTCATCGCCCTTTCATGCGGTGTGCCCTGATTGTCTCTCCAGCCGCGTGAGTTCCATGCAAGCAATTGCCCGTCAATCGCTCCGTCGATCAATCCACCAGCCATCTGCGTTTGCGACATAAGCAGTGAACGTCCTACGTTGTCCCGGTATAAACCAAGCAAATGCATTTCTAGCCATCCAGCAGCCTTCATACCCAATATGTGGGAAAAGTCATCTAGAAACTTTCTTCATGCAGAACTTGCCCCGTTCCTCGCGGACTCCATCCTGACCCTTTATACCAAGCTTCCTGCCTCTCCCAGGACGTTTTGAACAAACCGCAATGCTACTTTTAGCTACTGAAAAATGGCTGATGATCCGTTCTCTCTAACTCCCGCCCTCCGCCTTCGCCCTTCCTCAAACATTGGAACTCCTTCCCGCTCCTCCCCTCGGTCGCCGACTCCTTGCCGCTCCCGCTCTCCAGATCCAAATACCACTTCGTCAGTCTGCACTTTGGATCCATTGCTCGCCAATCTTTCACCAGAATCTACTCTCGCAGCATTAGCAGCCACCGATGCCATGCGAACAAATGGAAAGACTGCGGAGGGTATTCTCGCCAGCGCCATTGCCGAAGCCTCAAGGGATGAGCGTGCTTTGGCCGTCCGAGCTGCAGTGGCTGGGCAGAATTTGAAGCAATGGCATGCAGAGATGTTGGCATGGGAGTGGCCACGGAAACAAGACGCTGTCGCCGGCAAGGGTTTTATCCCGCCAAATAACGGTCGAGTTTACATCGGTGATGGTGATGATGATGATGATGATGATGGCTGGGAAAAGTACTTGGGTTGTCTTCCGGCCGCCATTGTGGAGCAGCACGAGGAGAGGATTGACGCGATAAAAGCTGGGATGAAGGCGTTGGATGTGGAGGAACTGAAGGAACATGTCCTCAACGCACATATCCCCTCTCGATCCCGACCGTCATCTTCGAATAGCTCCTGGTCCACAAACACGAACATGCTGAGCTATGTGCAACTCAGTGATTTCACGGCAGTAATAACAGCTACCATTCTCCAGGCACTACCATGCCTCTCCAAGTTGAATATTCTCCTCAATATTTGGGATGTTCGTATCACAGTCCTACACCAAGTCCCCGAGCTACTGGTTGGTCTTGGGAACACAAAGAGGGACATTTATGGCGCATTAGATCGATTAAAAATAGGATTGTTACCAGAACTGGACAATCCCCTATTTTCTAAGGCAGAGTTTGGATCGGCTCGTCACAGGCTGGAAAGCAAGGTATTAATCGTGGGAAGTAAGATGGATCGCATTCTTGATTCTCTCGAAGGTCAAGAAGATGTTCTCCCAGATATTTGGATTGACGAAATGGAAGCTATTGAAACTATGTTCGCCACTTGGGCTTTTGAAGCGGGGAAAATGGCGTCCGAAAACGATTTTAAGCGATCAATCCCGCCGCTGCCTGAATGTTCGATGCAGTCAAGCGAGACTGAAATGCCTGAAAAGGCTAGTCTAGGCAATCCAACAACGCAGAGTTCTACTTCTTTGTTTGAGAAAGATCAAAAAGACAAACATGATAGTTCCGTGGAAGTGACGGACGATCGACGTATCCATATCGAACTTGAGCTGCCCTCTACACCCTTCCAGACTGGCCCAGTCCCGAATGATGAGATTTCTCCAGAGCTGATGGACGTTCAGCGCACTCCTCCCCCTTCGCCTCCACTGATACCTCAAGTCCAACGGCCAGGGAAAGACATACCCCAAGCGGGCACCAAAAGTACACATACAGAGGTTTCCAGCGAAACGGAACTCACACAGGAGAGTCTGAATCCTACACAAAGTGACTCAGACACTTCTTCAGCGCTACTTTCTACGCCTACAACTTCTACTACCCGAGAAGAACTAACTAGCCTGTCGTGTCCTGACGCCGCTGAACCCCTAATGAACCAGCAGAGCATTGATGAGTTGCCAGACCAAGCCGCTCAACTGGTTGAAGACCATGCTTCTGACAAAACTCCTGGGACTGGGAATTCTAATAAGCCCAGTTCAGTGTTAATCGAAACTCCCGAGAACAGTCCAGAGCCTCCGGATAACCCAGCAGAACAAAGCTTGGCTGAAGAGACCATAGGTACTAATCAGTCCTTCCCACGATCGCTGTTGCCGTCTCAGAATGCCGATCCAGCTTCCCCGCAGTCGCCAGAACCGAAAGCATCGTCTGGCCAGCGCAGCCCTTTTAATACTACTGATTTATTGATATCCTCTTCGCCCACGACGGCTGAGCTGGGTCCCTACAAAGCTACGAAGAACAAACCAAAGGCCCTCAAACTGGAAACAATACTTCAACGGCGAGATTCAATTGTTTCCAGTGCTTCAACTCCTGGCTCTGGGCTTTCGTATGGCTCCGACCCTGAGATTAAGGATGCTCAAGTAGCAACAGCTCATGGCAGCCCCGTCGTAGTTGAATCTCCTGGTGGTTCCTCGCAACTGCGTCGAAGGCTCCCTGGGCTCTTGGACCGGGTGGAAAATATGCTGTCGCGCACAAAATCAGCGGAATCAAATAGTGGAGCAGCTACATCTTCTCGCCCTCCAGTGCAGCGGACCATGAGCCTGCCTCTTGAGCGGTTTGTGGATGGAGATCCTGAGGTTGTTCACGAAATGGATGATCCCAATGAATCAAACGACAAACCGGAAGTCAGACAGGCATCCTCTGCATCTATCGAGGTTTCACCAAAAACTGAATTGCTAAGTATCGTGGTCCCTAACAGGCTCAGCATGGGACTCACAAATGGGCCGAAACCGGCGCCAAATCTTCGCCGTTCTGTTTCTTCTCTCGCTCTATCATCCATAAATCGAATCAGCAATATCTCTAGTGGCCTCCACCCAAACTATCCCCGTGGACTACGCCTATCAACTTCGTCAGATTCACTCCCGTCTACTGCTGAGGAACAGTCACCGTCAGTACATATTTCAGACAGTAAAGATAATATTATTCCATCTCCAGACACACCTACCCCACCTCCAATCCTTCCGCGCAGATCCAGCAAGCGATTTTCTCGGCTTCTCAGCCCAGTCACATCTATTTCATCACATAAAGAGAGAAACACACTACCAGCTACCCATGGTGCTACTCTTTCTAGAGACGTGGCTGCCAATTCCGTGATATCACCTTCCTTTAATGCCCCTAAATCGCCCGAAGATCAATTAGAAGAAAAGATCAACTCCATACTTACCACAATTCCCACCCGAATCCACCTAGTGTCAACCCCAACTCGTTCGAACGGTATAAAAACTACCAAAAGGGCCCCTCGTGCTTCAGAACCTTCGTACTCAACCCCGAGAAATGATCGCTTGGAATCACAATCCCCTATGTCAAGCCGTAGCACTACCCCTACGCCAACACTCACTCTGACACCAGCCTTTGGCCGTTCGCGACGCCCCCACACACATCACGATGACGAATCTGCAGTGAGATTGTATCATCTGCACCGCGGAGGCAAAGCAGCCCCTCTCAAACTCTTCGTCCGCTCAGTTGGTGAAGATGGAGAAAGAGTCATGGTGCGCGTCGGCGGTGGGTGGGCCGATTTAGGAGAATATCTTCGGGAATACGCTGTCCACCACGGTCGACGAAACGTCTCAGACGCGAAATTCGAAGTCCGTGGCCTTCCCACCAACAACAACAACACCTCGCCCAACTACACAAAGAACAAACAAGCACCAGTCCCCAACACCGGCCGTTCCACCCCTGTATCCCGCCCTGGCTCAGCCTTTGATATCCGCCCCTCATCCTCACTCAACATCCGCAAAACCCGCCGATCCATGGCGAACCCCGCCGAACTCCCGAACCTAACAACAGCAAATATCGAAAAGGCCTCCGAAGGGTCCTCCGACCCTAGCAGCAATGGAAGCGGTGGGCCACTTTCCTTCTTCTCATCTTCTCGTCGCAGACTCTCCACCTCCTCCAACGCATCCATGAGCGTCGCCTCCACATATGGTGGCGAAGGCCAACAGTACGCCTCCACGCCCCTCGGCCTCGCAGGCCCGCATCCCAAATCTAGACAAGTATCAATTAGCCCGGAGAGCGAGGCGTGGGTGGAAAATGTTGTCGGGCGCGCCCGACGCACCTCTGCGACGTTGAGACCTGAGCGCTCCTACGGGAACCTCAGACGGTTTCGACCGAATGCTTTGCAGGAGGATGCTCTCCGAGACCGAGCTGAGGGCCGAGGCTATAGGAGCGTTAGTGATGTAGGCGGCGGTGGCGGTGCGGGAAATAAACGGGTGTATCTTCGTGGGCTGGATAGAGGGAGGGTGGAATGAATTATATTCGATGCTTGTTCTGAACCGGGCAGGGGACTAGATTATTTGATTATTATACCCCAGCCTTTGTGTGGGAACTATTGTTTGTGGTTTCCCTGTTTTCTTTGCTTTTCTCTTCCTTTCTCTTTTGCGTTTGATATTTTAGTCTCGGTACTCTTGGATTTCGGGGGGCTACGAATGGGTGGATGGATGGATCTTGTCATTTTTCATTTTGATGAAAAGGGGCTACTTTCCCAGTGATCTTTGAGCGATTGATTTTGTTTGACTTGACTAACTAACGTTAAGTTTATATGGACGGGAGGTTCCCCTATCCTTAACCTCATTGGGGCATATTCCTCGTTTCTGGTTTGGTTTTGATTCCTTCCCCTAGACCCCTTTACGGTTTTTGTTTTTGTTTTTTTTTTTTTTTTTTTTTTTTTTTTTTTGATTTGGCGTTCTACTCCGCGTCGCTCACCACAGCATTTCCTTTTCTCCCTTTGCTCGTCGTTCTTGTCTTCGTTTTCCTATTTTAATTTTCTTTTCTCTCATCTTCTCTATTATCTATCTATTCTCTTCCCCCTATCTTAGTTCTTTATCTCTTTTCGTATACCAATTGTCGTTCGTCTCTACTTGGTTTTAATTTCATGCACCGGCGTTTTTCGGTTTATTTTTCTTCTTCTTTCCTTTCTTGTCTTTCTTTCTTTCTAATATTTTAGTTTCGAATTTCCCTTTCCCCGCATATCCATTTTCAAACAAGAGGCTTAAGGTCTGTCTGTCTACCCTAAGCACTCTATTTATTTTCGTTCTTAAGAATTTGTCTAATCCATATATTTTCCTACTTCTTCTGCATTTGCATTCGTCCATTGCGTTCACAATTGTCGATTCATGGATAATATATATACATATTATCCTGCAAACAAATCTTCCCAAATAATTGTTCAGCTATCGCATCTATCTGTTGCCGTCACTGCGGGAAATGGGGAGAGACACAGGGATGGAGGGCTAGAGCTTCATTCCAGTGATGATGGAAAGCGCCGAAGAAGGGAAGATTTGTTATTATCATACATACATCCCCAATCCACGCCGAAATATCTTCCTTGTAAGACATATCAGAGCTAGGGTTAGTAAACATCTAACTGACTATCATAGATAGATAGATATTCCCAAAAAAGACATTTATTTTACCGCCCCAGCCTTTCCCTTCCGATCTCCAGCTCCAGCTCAGCAACGCACATAGAAAAATACTTTCCCTCTACTTTCAACCAACCCATTATTGTAAATCGGACCACCGCCACCACCGGCCTATTTATCTGCCTATCCATCGGTTGAAGAATCGGAAATGTGGTACAATGTCGGTTGAGTTGAAACTTGGACCAGCAACGAATACATTTATTTGAGAGCGGGAATACACAACGCTATCCGTAAACAATAAATAAATAGTACAGGAATTGTGATTTTGACGCTGAAATGTCAAAACTTGAAAAAAAAAAAAAAAAAAAAAACAAACGAAAAAAAACAAAACAAAATAAAATAAATCAAAAGCAAAAGAGAAATAGAGATGGTTAATATAATATAGTAATTCATCGGGGAGGCATTGAAGTGGGAAGTATGATGGGGTTCGCAGTGCCTGTGATCAGCGTGTATGGAGGTGGCAGAATAGGATTCCTCTCTGGAAGAGGGGTAGCGCAGAAGGAACCTGCTAAGAAAAGACGGTGGAGATATGTGCGGGAGAAGAGTGTGGGTGGGTGTGAGAAGAGCAATGAGAACGAATTACGCTTGGTGTTTTAGATTGCCATTCTCCACTCCTGAGCCATGAGACTAAAACGAGAACGAAAAAAGGGGGAAAAAATATTTATCAATTTCGTCTCGTCCCCCCGCCGTGCTCCCTAACTTGTGTGGCATCCAAAACTTGTACCGTTTTACTCATGAGACCCCGAAGTTCAGGCGTGATTATCCGTTCCAGATCGGCTCTTCGGTGGTTGGGTGAAGTTGGAGTACTACGGCTACGGTCGCGGGAAACTAATTGGCCAGCAGAGGTTTGTTGAGTTGAGGGGTAGGATCGGGTCCCGCTGTCAGAAGATCCAACGATGCGTCGGCGTACGGGTGGTGTGGGGAAATTGTTCTTCTTATCGATAGCTTCGACTTTCTTTTCGAAGCGGCGGAAGAGCGCTTCTGCCCTAGAGAGGATGGGGATTAGTTCCATGGTGTTTGAGAGGTCGTTGACTAACGTAAGATTTGCATTGGTTAGCAATTTCACATTCTTCATGGAAATTTTGAAAATAGCAAGCGAACAACAGATGATTAAAAGAAACGGTGGAATGGGCTGGCAAACTTACTATATTTCAGAACCTCGTCGAAATGTTTGAGGTGGTCCATGATCACATCCCGATGTTTTTCAAGGATCGCTAATGCGATAAATATATGGAAATTACTTGACAGATAATCCGTCCAAAGCGCTTCCCACAGCCTTAGCACGTCTACCCATTCGAACTCCCGCTTGTACCAAACAAGGAACATCCGGAAGAAAAAGAAAAAATTTGTGCTGTCGGCGGACTGGAGATGTAGGTAAAGTTGCGGGTCCATTAGTTGAACAAGTTGGTCCAGAGTAAGAAGCTGAGATCGCATCCCAGATTGGTCGCGGAGAAAATTTCGCTCCTACATGAAAAATAGTGTTAAAAGAATGTTGTTAGATCAGCCAGGACAGTATCTGGGGTTATACCATTCGATCCATATATCCAACAAATCCCCAGAAGGCTACCGCATCATCTTGCATCACAGCATAGATTGGGGCGAGAAGATCACTCATTCCCTGGACGTAGCCAAGGTCTCGGTTGTACTCGTTATAAGTAAGGAGCATATCCTTCATTTGCTCCATATGGACATTGGTACCCGTTTCGGCAAACGGAGAGTCGGGATCGGGGTGGGGAATATCCTCCCCTGCAAATAATGGGATAGTACGATCCGTGCGGTGAACATCCTTTTCTGCATTCCAAACCGAAATAGTTCCAATCAGTCTCTAATAAGATAAGTAGCATAAAAAGAAATAAAATAGAATAAACGGGAAATAACAAACCTATTCGAGCCTTCTGTTCTTTCCACCATTCGAGGTCGCCCGCCGACGAGAGTCCTTCAACTAATCTCTCCCACCATGCTCCTTTTAGACGCACATATTCATCCCGTTTCGAATTTAGTATCGCTTTGCGTTCATCGTCATTACTTTCCCATGAATATACCCCAAGCAGAAACAGCCAAGCCTCCTTGCGAACACCATCGGTTGGGTTAAGGCCTCCGTGGAAAATCCTCTCCTTAGCTTCGTCCTGGGTAATCTGCAGCCGCCCAGTGACAGGGTCAAACCAGCTATTCCACTCTTCCAAGGTAACAGGTTTTCGTTTGTCAGCAAGAGATAAATTTGCTGCTTCCATGTTCAGGATTTCAAATTCACCGACGGAGCTGTCTTCCATTTCTAACATGTCTCTTGCAGTCCAAATTCGCCGGTTTCGTTCACGCTCGCTCTGCTCAGCAACTCCCATTGCCCATCGTGCTAGATATAGCCTAGCACTATCAAACTCCTCTTGCAAGGTCTGTATTTCCGGATTTCGCATAAGACGCCTCACCTGAGGGGGAACCTTTGGGTTATCGGCAATATCTTGAGCAGTCCTCCTGGTAAAGGTAGTGATCTTGCTGAGCTGCTCCAGGACCTTCCACCGTGTTTCTTTCAACACTCGAGTGAGGGGATCCATACCCGCATCTCTCTGTCTAGGTTGCGAAGGTTGCGACTTATCCACAGTCAGAGGCTGGCCAAAGGACATTTTATCCTCCTCAGAAGGATTGATCAGGTATGCACTCGGATCAGCGCCCGATCGTTCGATGGTTACGTATCTTTTAAGCCATCTCAATACCTCGTCACCTCCCCAAAACATATTCCCACCTTCATCGAACGGATCAAAACTCTCTCTCGTTCGTTTCTTCTTTTGTAAAATTGTGGATTCGCATTCCGTATCATGGAAGAAAAGGGCCGGAAAACTATCTCCAGCTCTTGTATTTATAACAACACTACCAAACCACCAACCCAAGCTCGGCGGACGAACGAGCAGTGAATATATCTGGCTTAGAGGAACAGCAAACGCATACAAGCCGATCGAGCCAGGATCTGAAGTTGTGGTAGGAAGTGGCGGCACCAAATACGATTGGCGCGGAGGAGATGTGCTGTCGGACATGTCTACTTTTACGTAGGTGCTATATGCATCGCCCAGGGAAGATTCCGGGACCCACGCAAGAAGGTATGAGGAAGCATTAGGTTTTGTAATTGCGGAGGAAGGCTGCGATAGATCGCCTTCGGTGGAAGGGGTAGACTTCTGTTGTATCAGGGCGATAAAACCCGGTATATTGTCTTTAGATGAAGGAGTAGGGTGCACGTAAACCTGGCGTAAAAAAACTTGCGGGTAAGTCAAAGTCTTAATCCAATGTTGGAAAAACGCGTGATACGATGGCTTGTTGAAAGCAGTGTATTATGGAAACTGGATGCGTGCACACCTTGCTTTTAGAGAATAAAAGTTTCACCCCCTTACCCGTACTAGTGTGGGTAATGGTGTTATAGTCGCCTTCGTCGTCGTCGCTAATATCATAGAATGAAGCCGTTGGGGAGGGCGGAGGTGTAAGGCGGGAGGATGACCCCGCCATGTTGGCAGCCCGATATCACCGTCGAAGCACCAGCGCGGAATGGAAAAAGGCAGAGATAATGGTAGGTGAGAATCGGGCTATAGGCTTAACGTATTTTGATTTGTTGGGGGCTCATGTCGGCAGGATTTCAAAGCTCACCAGCGCCAGATATATACTCCCCAGATGAATGAAGAAGCCTAGCCGGGATGAAGCTGGTGATGGTGACGTATTAGGAGGAAGGCTTGGCGAGAGACAGACGGGACAGACATCACATGATATCTGATGTCAAAACAGCTTCCACACAATTTGGCATCAAGAACGATAGAAAGGCTTCGGTAGTCCTCCATTGCTCTATGATGATGGAGGATTCGGCTTCAAACAGGTCGGCAATTCCATCTTGTTCACGGTGCTCGCACATCCTATGGTCCTGCACAATCCTAGATGTATGGCCCCAACTGCTACTATTACGAGTACTGCTTCACAGGAGTTCCTTCAGGGTGCTGGGGTCGTTGAATTAAAAAAAACCAAAAAAATAAAAAATAAAAAAATAATCAAACAAATAGTACTATCTCTACGCTCCGTCAACCTTAGAGGAATTGAGCTCTACCATTCAACATTAATAAACGGAAAAGAGAGACCGGCTTATATGCAGAAGAACCTCGAGAGCATTGTGCTGATATGCTGTGGTATATACCACAGATAACAGACCTACACTAGTTGTGGACGTCTTCCACTGTCATGCTTGCAAACACTTTGACGTTGGCATACACACGTGGTGCTAAGTCAACGGTCCACGGGTGTTAGAACTTGGGGGGATGTTCCAACTTGCCCACCTTCGGATTTGACAACCATTTACGGAACGCAGCTTGGAAATTCCAAACCGGCTCCTTGGTAACTATTAGTTGGCCTTTATCAATATACATGGCGTACATAATGAGCCCACTTACCTGAGGTGGTATTTATACGTCCATGTATTCCTTTTTTCCTCCGAGATTTTGGACAATTGCTTCGAAAATGGAGGAATTTCAAAGAACTCTTTCAGCTTCGTGGTACCGGAGCCTTCCGCTCTATCAGCTTGAGCGCCGTGCTGTGTTTCTGAAGGTCTGCAAGTTTCAGCTTCGACTTC